AAAAAACATCAACTGGCTTCTGTTACTTGCTTGAACTGACTGAAGGAGGCTGAAAACACTTGAAAGTGTTCAAAAGGCATACATAACCGCAAGAAAACACTCAGCTTGTTTTAGTCTGGCATCTGATTTGTTCCTGCTCTTTAAAAAATGTACTTTGACCATTTAGTTCTACATTGTACAACGTTTGCAAACATATTAAAAATTACACGTGACAGCGCCCCAAGTGGAATGATCTATTGAGATACACATATGCCAGTGTTTAAACAGCATTCAAACAGCAAAACCACCCACACATTCCATAAAAAGAATAAGAAACAACCTGGTAATTCCCTTTTTGCCGTCACCAGTGTGGAATGTATCAGAGATCCTCATTCAGGCAAGATATCTCACTGCCCGATTTCCAACGAGGAGAAAAAATAAAAAAGAAAATGGGAATTTTGAGGAGACAATCTGTCAAGAAACAGCAGAAATTTCATTTATAAACCTGTGAATTCCTACATCTCTTATTGGTATCAAATTCTGTATCGAGTTAAAAAAAATAAGAAAAACCAGTCAGTGCCCAGTTCAGTTCTGATGCTTAGTGAGAAAAAAATCTCTGTCACTCATCCAGTGTGAACACAGAATTAGTGTGTAGTTCAGTGCTAGGACTCATCTATGGTCTCACACTCAGGCTGCTCCCCACCAGAGAGTGGAGGAGGGATTTCCTCTGGCGTCTGTTGTTCTGGTCCTTGACTTCGCTCATTTTCGTGCTCATGTTCCTGGTTTGCTCAGTGTGGGGGGGCTCCAGGTGGACTGGCATTGCCTCTGGCTCAGACGGATAAAGCTCGAAGGAGGCGTCTGTGTAGGAAGACGGCCTCGGAGGCCCAAAGTAGTGCACTGGGTCAAACTGGTAGTGGGAGGTCCTTTGGGTTGGCTCCATGAGTTGCCTTTCACATCTGGGTTAACTGGTGGAACATTGAACATGGGCTGTTTGTATTGAGATGAAGAGTTAATGTCAAAATGACATAATAAGGGTTGTTGTTGAAGGCTCTATTCCATTATAAAGCCTCATCCGGTTCTTTCAAACCAGGAACTCAGAGGGACGACTCAGACCACTTGAGTATATAAAAAATATAACCGTGCTGGTTTATTCAAAGAGTCACAGGCAAGAATTCACACTTCCAGTCCAGAGATCTTCCAACCCCCAGCCTGCCAAAAGCAGCCCGGAAGCAGAAAGACCCCGAACCACGCATTGCTATACATTATTAATCATTTCTGGGCTGTCGAACCGTGACGTCACCTGATATGCCAGCTTGGCAGCTGAGCAGAGCAGTAGACAAAACATGAAGAAAATAATGTGTGTGGCTGTTGTTTTCGTGGTGTGTATCTAAAACAATTTGACATAACATTACACATTAAGACAAATATTATGGTTACTTTTACCGTCATAATAACATTTGTCCCTGACGGCAGCCTTTCTGCTTTAACTATCCTTGCATTTAACAGCCTGAGGAGACATCCTGGCTACACTAACATCTTCTAATACAACAGATCTCTAATCAATATCTATCTAACTAAGAAATTACCTAACACACTATTTGTTAGAGTAATTGATTCGTCATTCTGTTTATAAAATGTCAGAAAATGCAATAAGTTATAATAACAGTTTCTCTGACATTTCTTATTTAAAACCCAAAGATATGTGGTATATGGAGATATATAAGTGAAAAAAGAAGAAAATACACGACAGGCTAAATACAGCAACATATTTCACAACGCCTATTTGAAAAATGACTGAATTAATAAAAACAATTACATATTTTTTTAAAAACTGTTGAAGTTTGTTGCAATGCATTGAATTGTTATTACACATCAGTGTGTTAGGAACATTTTACTCTGGAGGTGGTTGTAACAGTAAGGCTGCATTTTCTTAATAAAATAATCTAATAATCTTGATTAATTGACTGATTGGTTTGTCAGAGCCCATGGTCACACCGTAAAAAAAAAAAGGCAAAGCAGAAATCAGTTTTCTATATGTCTACAATGCAGGTTGTGTACTGTATGTAATTTCTTTTTCTTTTGTGTATAGGCAGTGATGAAGATCAGACTATGTTGATGATGATGATGATGGGGTGAGCTGACAGGTGCTGAGCTGTGAGATGTGGGTTTCTGTCCAGAAAAGAAACATCTGGGAACGTCCACAAAGAGGGACCACTGTGAGTTCAGACCTGGTTTTAGGGCTGAGGTTATATGTGGGATAGGGCTGGGTTAGACATTTAGTTGTGATGGTTATGGTGGGAGGCTGGGGGGGCATGTCATGTCAGTCAGAATCCTTACAGAAACTATAGACAGAAAGGCCAACATGTGGCTGATCTGTCTGTAAAATGGTGTATGTAAAAGGATTAGTGCGAAGGACGTGTACATGTGTAATGCCAGTGGTGTTAGCTTTTCAACACACATTGTTTGCTCCCAGTTAATCTCACACACGCACACACACACACACACACACACACAGAGCTGGGAGGGTAAAATGAGGACAGCCTCAGTGAGGTTTTAGATAAATAGATATTTCTGTCTTCGTCATGAAGGAGGAGCTGGAGGAAGTGTCTGGAGAGAGGGAAGTCTGGGCATCTTTGCTTAGACTGCTGCCCCCGCGACCCGGTCCCGGATAAGCAGAAGAAAATGGATGGATGGATGGATGGATGTCTTCATCACTGTTGTTTTCTGCTAAACTCAACCTTGAGCCAGGCACTTCACTAATCCACTTATTTCCCATGATGGGGATGTCTGTGAGTTTTTAATTCCGTCAGCCATGATGACAGGGGAGGAGGACATGGAGGAGGTGATAGCAGGAGCAGAGAGACGCTTGGCCGGTGTTCTTTCAGCAAGAGGTGACCAGAGAGAGGCAGAGCACAGGAGACGAGAGGAGTCGGGTTTCTATGATTGGTGGATTATTTTTCTGGATGTGTTCTGTCCCTGAGCTAATGGAAGCTCCTGCTCTTCCTCATCTCTCTTTTACCGTCTGTAAATCAATCACAGGCGGGAGAAGTCATCTTTTAGCCGCTGCCAACAGACTAAATGAAATTAAATCCTAGAATAAGCAGAACAGACTTACTTTTGTCAGGGCTGCTGATCAACATCTGCAGCTGAGGTGAGAAAGAAACACTAGAGGCTGGAAGTGAAGACAGAGCACAAACAGAGAGGAGGAGTTTGTTTCTTGTTCATTGTTTTGGGGATGCAGAATGGGTGGGTGACGATGGTGTGCACCCCGTGTTTCTGTCCCTCAGGAGACAACAGCTCCTCTGCTGGACAAGTAGGGGAGTGCACAAACCTAAACAGACATAAGCATGACAGTTGTTGAATTGTGTGTGTGTGTGTGTGTGTGTGTGTGTGTGTTAGGTTTGATGGGGAGGTTAATGCATGTTAATGTTTAAAATCCTTCATTAGTACAGAAAAAACATCACACCCAGAAGTCAAAGATGAGAAAACATCTTTAGTTTGTGTTTTACTTCTTTCAATTTGACTTCAGTTTGACACATTGTATGTGTTTGGTGATTTAAGTGCTTTTCACTCATCAAGGTAATGAATATCGTCATAGCAACAGTGTGTTTAAGGCCATTACTGTGTGAACTCGTGGTGTGTTCACTAGAAACATACATGTCAGTGTAGTGATAGCTTCCGTTTTGCCAAAAATACACTAAGTTATTATCTTTTATTAAATTCATTGTAAGTTTGGACAGACACGTAAGCTGCAGCCTGGCTGGTCGCCAAAGGCACAAAGCTGAGAGGTGGTAATTCTCATTCCAGTCGGAGGTGTGGTTTTAGGTGAGCTTTTTTTAAAGCCGCATTTGCATTCTATGTCCAGATGAAAAATATATTTGAGCCTGTCTAGTTTATTAACATCTTACATCTCCTATGTTTAGTCTGTATTGTGCATTATTCTTAATGAAAAACACATTTTAAGTCCTGAAAATCTCCCACTGACAGACTGAACTCAACTATAACCAGCCAATCTACATCCCAAAGGCATCTCAAACTGCCCGTAAGGCATCTTTAATTTTCACTGTACACACCTTAAACCACCATACATATTTTCTCTATGCATTTTTCCATGCCTTGTTAAAGAAACGTTTGAATGGCATGAATGAAATGCACCTTCTAGATACTTCTCAGAGCTTTATGAGTCGTCACTTGATCGGATGTTGCCGGGATACCTGTAGCCCAAAGAGGAAGTGAGAGGGGATTGTGACTCTATTTTTGTAGAGTAGAAAAACGCCTCCTGTTTTCACATCACAACACCTTCACAGTGACTGGCAGAGCGACAGAGCTTTGTTCTGTTAGTGCATGTTTTTCACAGCGAGGGTAGTTCCCTTTCTGTTTCTGGTTGACTTGTCTTTAACTTTGTCCGGCCCAAATAGCCATCCATTTTAATTGTCCTGCTCATTTAGTACGTTTGTTTTTCTACAGTAGTTATGTCTTTTATACAAACATGTCGAGTTATATCTAGTTGTCTGTTCTCCAGTTAACTTATCTAGGGTAGGGTAGGTACTTATTTAATTTCTACGTAGCTTTGTCTTGCTTGTTATCTTGATCCTAATTAACTGTCTTTGTTCATTGTTTGGTTTATAGTTAATTCATATTGTAACTGTTTTTCAGTTAGCTGTGTCGTCATAGTTATTTTGTATCTAGTTAACTTACTCTTGCTAGTTAACCTGTGGCCAGTTAGATGTGGTTATTACACTTGTTTTAATTAGTCTTGCTCTGCTAGTTTTCTTCTTGTTAACCTTTCCTTTAGTTATTTGTTTTTAGTTAGCTTTTCTCATTAGCTATTAGATTCTGGTTAAATGTGTTTGTTTCTGATTAGACTTGGTCACAGTTAGCTTTTTTTATTAGCTATTTGTTAGTTGGAGGCTAGTTTGGTTGTTTGTATGGGTTTGTTTGCTTTGGGGGGTGGGGGTGGGGCTAGTTGTCCTGTTTGCAATTAGCTTTTTTGTTATTTCTTTGTTTCCGTTTAACTGTCTAGTTAGCTTGTCTCGATATCTGCTAAGCTTCAGTAGCTTTGTCATAACTCATTATTTTACCCTGCAGTTTGTCTCATTGGTGGTTTGTCTTGCTAGTTATATTTATTTATTTTACATAAGTTCACCACCAGCGTCTTGCTAGTTGGTTAGCTCTTTGTGTCATAGTAGTTTTCTTTAGTTATCTCCTCCCTAGATAAGACAAATAGCTAGTTAAGTTCCTCTTTTTACTATTTCTAGTGAGACAGACTAGTTTGTTTTCTGTTGTCACCTCCACCAGGGGCTATGTTTTAATCACCAGTTTTTGATGAAAAGCTTTGGAGCGGTAGGGTATGGCCTGCAGAACCTTTGATTAGAATAGATAGTCCCTGTTTTACCCCTAAATGTCTGTCGTGTCATGTCTCTTGTTTTTCTTGAATAACTTTTTCAAACTAATAATGCTGTCGGCGTCATTCCAAATGCTGACATTACGTTTTCATGGTCAAGCAATCTTGAGGGTTAAACTGTCATGGGAATGTTACTTTTATGGCATTATGGGGAAACAGAGTTGCCCTTGGCGGAGGTTTGCACTCTCTGACAGCTGTCTAGTTAGTATGTTTTTTCCTATTTAGCTTATGATGTACAGTATTTGTATTTTTTTTATAAATGAGCTTTTTTATTTTAAAAAAGGGTGTGTCTTTGAAAAACAATTTTATGTTCATTGCTTTCCTCTTTCTAATTGTAAAAATATGTTCACGCTGCCAGTTTACTGAACCCAGCCAAGACGTGCATGGAGCGGAAGTGACAGGTCAAGAGAGTTGGTTTGAAAGTTATTAGATTAATTAACAGAACCTAAGAACAGGAGAGAATTTGCCGTTTGTCAGTAAACATCTTATCTTTGTGTTTCCAAACATCAAAAGTCCTGTGCTTTTTGTCTCCCTCTCTTTCCTCTTAGGACAATGGATGGAGTGAACAAGGCCAGGGAGGTGAGGGTGTCGTGGCTCCAGGTGGAGGCTGAGAGCGACAATCAAACAGCTCCTGAACACAAGGTAGAGGAGGAGAGGGGAAGGAGAACGCTGGGTCTCTTGTTGCCTTCACGCTGTACTTTCCTCCTTCTGATTGTACTTGTGCAGCACGTGGGTGTCACAATGTCAGACTCAGTGGTTTCTTTTAAGTCATGTTTAGGTTTAGTTTGGCAAATGAATGACAAGCAACATCCGATTTCACACTGTTACTTACAGCTTTCTTTTTTGAGGACAGCTCGAGATCACAGATGACTGTCAAAGGAGGGTAAAGGTGAAGGAGGACAAGAAGAAGAAGCAGTAGAAAGAACAGGGAGGAGTGTTTTCTGTCTGATTAACCTACTTTATGCTGTCTCTCTCTCTGCTCCTCGTCTCAGTGTCCTGTGCTGTGTGACAGTCTTCACAGTTCTGTCCAGGACAAAGAAAACAGTCCAATGATGAGAGCTGGTAAACACACACAGGGTTTTTTGATACAGTTCAGAAGCTTTCTAGGATCAGTATTGTGTACATGAAGTTTGTATTCCTATAAAAATTGCTTTTCTTTCCTTGTGGTGTGTGCAGTGCTGTGTGCTCAGGTGTGTAAGGTGTACAGGTTTCAGACAGAGGATCAGCGCTGGATGCTGGTCAGGGAACAGCTGTCAGAGACGCCGCTCTCCTTCTCTTTACCCAAACAGCTACTGAGCGCGCTCATACAGGAGCACACCAGCAGGTCCGTATGTGTGTTATGCTTGTATTTACAGGTGATAATCAGTTAAACTTTCCCATTTGCAGTTCAACACAGTCACATGTCTGGAAGGGACAAAGGATATGGCGGGCTTTAGAGCTGGCAGAGCAGCAGCTGTTTTGACAAAGGGTTAGATGTTATTTTCAGGAGGGAAGGGTTTCTAGTTTCAGCTTCTCATTTGAGAGGATTTTCTGCTTTTAATTGTCATAATTCACTGTCATATTTCACTTATATTGTGTGGCATTCGTGTGCACGGCAAAGTAAGAATTTCATTGTACAGGGAAACACATTTCCTCACTGTGCATATGAGAATAAACAGTTGACCTTGACTCTAAACTGAAAACCACAAAAACATGAAGACGTCACTTTGGGTTCAGGGTGATTTTTTACATTTTTTGACACTTCATGAACTATATTTTTAATTGATTAAATGGAAAAACAGCCGATAGTGAACATAAACCTCGCTGCCCCTGTTCTGCTTTGTCATGTTGAACAACCATCAAATTGAAAACATGACCTTGGATTTTTGGAAATTGCAGTGGACATTTTTCATTATTTTCTGACATTGTATTTTGAAATAATCTCTAGATTAACAAATATTTTAAATAATCACAAGCGTCTACATAATGCAAATGAAGTTGGACGGTTTTGTAGTTTAAACTCCAGTGATGTTGTAGCTGAGATTGCAACTACCATAAAACCGGTTTATCTTTGAAAAGTAAAAAAATAGAATAAGTGCTGGATTCAGTCTTGGTGGGTTCTGTGTTATATGAACAAACATTAGGAGTTAGCGACGACGGCCACGGTGGCAGAGTTGAAAAAGATACGAGCGTCACATCCAGAAATTCAAACTTCATCAGCAGAAACTTTATGCTTAAATTACTCATTTGATAATATCCTGTCCTTATCAGGGTCCAGCAAGTGAAGGAGCTCGGTGACCTTTCACCACACTGGGATGGGCTTCGCCATGATGTCATCAGCCACTGTAACCACCTGATTGGCTGTTACCGGGAAATACTGACAGAGCTGAACAAACGCTCAGGTGACGTGAAGGGTTTCAGTGTTGTGTCTCAGGGTTTACACAAATAATGATCTCTTAAACACTTGACATTAACGCCCCAGTTATAAGCAGTATATAAACACTAAGATACAGTTGTAAGCAGATATTAATGAGCAACATTTGTCTGTAATTATAACTTTCCCATTCAAAGTATTATTATAGATATGGTTTCCTCTGTTGTCATTGTCTGTAATGGGAAACACTTATTTGCATTCTGGTGGACAGTGAGACGATACACCTGATACCATGCTCATGTCTGTATGGAGCCTGAACCAGCGGATGTTAGCTTAGCACAAAGCCTGAAAACAGGGAAAGAGCTAGCCAGCAAAATCCACCAATCAGCATCTTTAAAGCCCAATAATTCATACATTATAACTTCTCTGTTTCTGTGTGAATGCAAAGATGTTGAACTGCTTAATTTCAACTTTATTGCATTGTGAGAAAAAATGTCCACACTGGGTTGATTATCAGTTTTTTTCTTTGGCTGATGATGTCATTTGTTTGTATTTGGGGTTCCCACAGCATGGACCTGTTTCAAGTCTTGCAGCAGCAGATCAAACAGGTACCTGCAGTTTGTCCCGACCAACCTGCACTCACAGAGGATGATGGTCACGGATCCAGGCAGCACAGGTACATCCACCAGGTGGTTTTCCTTCGTTCCCCCTTTCCTCTTGCTTGTTTTCACTTTCAGTCACTACTTGTATTTCTTTTACTGCAGTATCACTTGTTCATCTTCTGTCTCATTCATTGTAATAGTTTGTCTCTCTCTCCAGGTGTGTGGTATGAGGTTATAACCTTTGGTGCTCCCTCCGACCACCACCAGGCCTTCAGACATGGTGGACTGGGGAGACTGCTCAGCGGACACAGGTGTGTGTTGGTGTGACTGGTGTAACACTACAGTTTTAATTGCAGTATTGGAGTGAGTGTACTCATTTAGATTTCCCCACTAGTTGAGTTTGATTACACTGTATTACACTGAAGCCTTTATGCCTCCATCTCTCTCCAGCTCCGTCTCTTATTCCCAGGAGGAGAGCTACAGAGCCAGGGAGCTGCTGAGCTGCGTGGCCCAGCTGCAGCCTCTGGTCTTCGGCCTCGCTGACGAGCTGCTCGCTGTCTCCCTGGAGCTTAACATGAGTCGACTGCAGCAAGTGCTGGACAGCCTGACTCAGCAGGTGAGGAGGGAAGAAAAACACAGGAAACAACACGGTTTGAGTTCAAAATCATAATCTTAACACTGTCTATCACTGTGAACTAGACAAATCTGCTTGTTCACACACTCAAAGAGGAGCTGGTGAAAAGCGCCCTGTTGGAGATCCACAACCAATGCACCGCCACCAGCAACAGCAGCCACGTCCACAGCAACGGGTTGGTCTGTGACAACTCGCCAGCCAGTCAGGACGGGCCGCAGGATGTCGTCCGACGTGACGTGTATGACGAGGAGGAGTGGGCAAGTTGGAGCGTGTGTGTGTGTGTGAGGTCTTCATTTGCTGCTGGTAGCTGTGCATTTGTTTTTATATATGTGTGCGTGTGTTTGTGTAGGACAGGGTGTGGGCAAACGTTGCCAAGAGCCTCAACTGCATCGTTATCATGATGGACCGGCTGCAGGGCCAAGAGGAGCACCCGCGGGAGCCGAGACGTTTAGAGAAGCCGGAAGCCGCTGAAGACAAAACCTCTCAGAACACTGGTGGGATGTTATTTCATGGTTCTACAAAAATAGCATGTGTTCACTGTCCTTCAAAAACAAAACCTCATGCGCATCTGATTTCACCCAAACCTCATACATCTCTATTTACAGCTATGTTTATCACTCTGAACAGACACAACAATGTTTGTTTACCAGTGAACACACAGCAGAGGAACTGAGGGTATGAGCTTCAATTTATCCCTCTTCTTTTCCTCCAGCCCCCTCCTCCTCTTCCTTGTTCTCCTGGCAGGAGCACTTGCTCCCCCTGGTGGTCACATTCAGGGATTGTGTGCGCGAGGCGGTGGGAAAGGCCCAAGTAGCCATGACCTTCGTCATCCTGCAGGGGGCAGTCGCCACCACTGTTGGCCAGGGACCTGCACATATTGTCCAGAGACGACACGCCGTCTTCAGCCAGGCGGTGAGAGAGAGAGGCAGAAATACAGAATTTTTGGATCATCCTGCAGGGGGCAGTCGCCACCACTGTTGGCCAGGGACCTGCACATATTGTCCAGAGACGACACGCCGTCTTCAGCCAGGCGGTGAGAGAACTGCCTCGGTTCTATACTTGGCCAAATAAAGATGATCCTTATTTTCAAATGCTGATCACATTAGAAGCTCTAATAATGCGGGTGCTTTACACCCAAGATGCAGTATGCTAGTACAGCCCTAGCAACATGTTTGGACCTTCAGACTCCTCTTCAGAGCCACATGTGCTGCATCCATGACTCTTGAAGTGTGTCTCTCTTAGGACATTACGTTTCGACCAAGCCTCCAGTTCACTGTAGTGATGAGTTTCTGTCTCTCTCAGCTCTCAGCAGTCACGTGTGGTTTCATGCTAAAGCTGTACGGAGGTCTGGAGGATGCTGGGTTCCTGCAGCAGCTTCACTCTGTGGGAATCCTGGCTGAGTTCAAAAGCCTGCTCAGCACCAATGGTACAAACACACACAGACACACTAACCTGCTGTGCATGCTGTATGTAGGTGTACATGGTGTACATGTGTGTGTTTCAGGTGACGAGGAGGGGATACTGGAGGACATGGAGGTGGGTGTGGCCGACCTGAGCGATGTTGCCTTCACAATTACCAAAGCTAAAACTGAAGAAGACCTGCTGCCGATGCTCACTGGAACATGGTGCGACACACACTTTTGCTTTTATTCTTTGTTTCACCTCTCATCTGGGACGCTTCTTCGGTTCTGCCTGACTGCTGGAGAGTGCCAGGTATTTCACCTCTGTGGGGTCCATGGAGCCAATTCCTCAGGACAAGACTCAGCAGTCCACCTGCATCTGCACAAGAGACACTCCTCTGATGAGCAGTGTGCACATCTGGCCAGAGAGAAGAGATGAGGAGTGAAAGAAGTCCTCCATGTCAAACTGGAACAACCATCACTGAGCAGAGAAGGTGGTCTACACCGCCTGTCATTTGCTTACAGGGCAATGCTGACATCCCTCCCACGGCAGTTTGACTCATGTGACCCTAAAAAAACTACACGATGACCAGGTGGAGCAGTGACCCACATGTGGCTTAACTGGCCATCAAGGTGTTGGCGACTCCACAGAGGTGAAACACCTGGGACTCCCCACCACCCAGTCAGACCTGAAGTAGTTCTCAGGGCAGAGGTGAAACGTTACCTGCAGCACCTAACCTCAGACCAAGCTGTGACATGGTGGGGACCATCTGTTGGGTCCCCACAGTGTGAGTAACATGGGCACCCTGAGCACAGTGTTTATCTCCATCCAGGGGCAACTTTGTCGTCGAGGTCCCATTGCCCTCGGAGAACTTTGGTTTGTTGCCACAGAGACTAAAAGATGGATGTTTGATACGAGTTCATCCTGTTCACTTTAACATTGGAATTGACCACCAGCAGAGTCTGGCTGAGAGGTAAGCACACACACACCTGCTACCATCAGTATTGATCAGTCCAGGTTCAGGATAATTCCAGGTCCCCCCAAAATCTGGCTGATTGACACTCGGGCCAGTCGATATCACGCATGTTCGTCATCTGTTTACGAAAGGAAAGACTGGAGCAGGTGAATTAGTGAGTGATAAAATAATACAACTGTACTGTCACATAAAGACTGGTAGCAACCAAAACACTTTGTCTTTCCTTGCTCCACCTTTATCTAAGATGGTATCTTCCAGCTTCTGGTGGATGGCACACACCTGATTCAGGTGATCAGCTTGGACAGGACAGGGCAGGGATAGTTGGGAAACCAGCAGGGCAGCGGCCCTCGAGGACGGGACTGGCCTCCCCTGCTCTAAACGATTATCAAAATAGTTATTAATTTACTGTAGGTATGCGACAGCGCAGCCAGACTGTCTGTACCCTTACTCACACACACACATTTATGTGGAGTCTGACAGGCAATTGGAGAAGAAAGGCATGCACGTGTTGTGTTTTTTCTTCAGTACCAGTAACAAGTAAATGTCAGTGGCATGATAACCGTCCATTTTCATACCATGGCGTACTGTGAAGGTGGTATGCTGCTGCAGCCCTGCTTCTTATTCTGCACAGTTAAGGATTAACAGCTTCTCCAGCTGGTTTTGCCTTTGTGTCCTTTTCCTCTTCGAAGTACATGGCTTCCTGTGACCTTCACAAAATGTGTGTAAATGTTTCAGAGGTCTGTTTTCTCTGTTACCCTGTCATGGTTTGGTTACATGGTTGCATAACGTAACTCTTCTGCTTGTTTGTTCCAGGTTCGGTGACAGCTCTCTGCAGGAGAGAGTGAACCAGCGGAGCTGTGAGCAGCTTAGAGCTTACTGCCGCCTGCTGAGAGACATGCTGCCGCAAATGGGTACAAGTCTCTGCCTGTCTGTTGTCTTCAGTCGAGCAGACACTGTACGCTTCAGCCTGACTGTAGACCCCACCTGTTGTGGCTTGATGTGCGATGTGGCTTGTACATATTATAGTCCAGTAATATGATAATGGTGCTTAGGTTGATTGGCAACTCTGAATTAGACATTATCTGGAAGGGCATCCAGCGTAAAACATGCCAAGGTTAACGTGCGCTTTGTCAGTTTGGTGGAACTGACTATTTGCTGTGGCGACCCCTAATGGGAACAGCTGAAAGTAGAAGAAGAATATAGTCCAATAATATGATAATGGGAACTGTGCCTTTCTGCATAATGAGTACTTTTAGTATTTTAAGTATATTTTATGCTAATACATTTGTGCTTCAGTAACAACTTGAGTGCAGGACTATTTTTACTTCAACAGTCTGAGTACTGCTTCCACCAGTGCACAGGACCAGTGAGAATCGCACAGTGTCTGCATGGCTGTACTCAGGACTGCTGTCATTTTAAATTTGTGGTGGCATCGCAGTTGATTCTGGCTCAGTCATCTTGAGACACAAACAGAACGAGTCTGGTGTAGATTGACAACCAGGAGAAGATCAGCCGGTTCTTATGAGGGCACTGTAGTCACCATCTGACCGCCTGTCTCTCTCCAGCTGGAGACCAGTCGCTGTCAGACCTGTTGGCGTCTCTGGATCGAAATGTCCACACCAGGAAGAGTAAGAACGTGGAGGTTCTGTGGATTGCTGCTATGGTAAGACTACAGCCTTAGAAAACCGTCTTTCAATGAGGTGTGTGCGACTGAGAGGCTGGAACTCTGTTGTAAAGAAAACCTCAGCCCCAAAATGAGGTTTTTCATCTTAAGCAGCCATGATAAAGGAAATGTAGCCACTAGCTAGACGGTGCAGTCAGAACGAGATGAAGGCACACAGGTAATAATGTTACTGAAGGTTTTGTGTCACACATAAAGGTGCCCAGGATACGCTACCTTCAGAGGCGAGAGGAAACAAAGTCCTGGATGCTGCTCCTACACTAGGACCTAATTTCTCCAAACAAGACCTTGACCAGGACGTGTGTGTTTGTGTGTCTGTCCAGGTGTGTCGCAAGGTGAACGGCGTTCGTCTGACCAGCTGTAAGAGCGCCAAAGACCGCACTGCGATGTCGGTGACACTGGAGCAGTGCGTGTTACTGCAACAGCGACATAAACTCAGTCAGCAGCACTTCAACACTGCGCTGGACTGCATGAGGGGGTGTGTGTGTGTGTGTGTGGGCTTTGTGTTGCTGTGTGTTTACCCTGACCACCTCCGTCCTGCCTCCTTTCCTTTTCTGTCCTCTCTTTCGTTTCCTTTCCTTTTCTCCAGCCAGTTTGTGCTCTTTTTCTTTCCACTTATTTTTGTAGAACCTTTTCAGTTGAACCTTTTGTCTTTTTCTTTTTTCCACTTCATGCCATTCTTGTCTCTTTTTCCATCCACTTTCTCTGCTTCACTTTTTTGTCACATTTTCTTACTCTGCCTTTCTTTCTTTCTTTGGTTCCTTCCTTACTTACTGTTTTTCTCATCTCTTTTTCTCTTGTTTTCTTCTCTCCATCCCTCCATATGCACACAATCCTCCTCCTCCTCCAGGTCTCGTCTGGCCTGGGGACAGATGCTGGGCTGCTACACCCAGTCAGGGTTCACTGTCTCTGGGTTAGAGCCAGGGGAGCGTCCCTCTGGCCTCCAGAGCTTCTGGCCCCCACAGTGTTTGGTCCCGAAAGCCCCCAGACGGCACCTGTACCCAGTGACTTTCATGCTGGTGATCTCTCACCTGCTGGTTCTTTGGCTCATCCTTAGCTTGGTTGTACTGCTGGCTAAATACCAGTAGACCAGCACAGACTGGGAGCACTGGGCACAAAGCAGACTGAATGGATGGTTTTGTCACTGAACCAGATGGTTTCCATGTGGGACATTCACCCAGCTCTTCTGACTCGAGACTTCCTGCAAAAGTGTTTGTTTCTTCACTTTCTGGAAATGTTTACCTGCTTGTGATTCAAAATGTGTTTATTTTAATAATTTAATTCTTAGTGCGTGCACTGTGTGCGCCAGTGTTTAGTATGTTTTCAACGTGAACAGAAGGATCTTTGGTTCCTGGTATTTGTGACATCTCCTAGAAGCTGTGCATCATTAGACATCTGTGCCTCATTCATATGTGTGTGCATGTCTGCGTTGCTGTGTGCACAGGACTGGCTGCAGGATGGAGAACGTGCAGAAGAACGTGGGCAGCAGGAAGTTCGCCTTCAGCAGTGTCCAGCTCCTCACCTTCCCCAAGCTGTACAGACCTCCAGAAGGCAGCTACGGCTGGACACACTGACAGCTGTTTAGCTCCTGTACAGATGTTTTTTTAATTATGTAAAGTGTGTGTTGTGTTGTTATTTTTATGACCCTGTACCGTTCACTGTGGCCCCACTTCAGTTCCCCTAAGTTGTCTTCTGTGTAGTCCAGAGACCCATAAACCAAGACAATTGTTATAATTTATGATTGAACACTGATTTAATATATTCTCTACGGGAGCCTCGAGCCGACATAAAAACACAGGTGCCACTGTTGCTTTTTTCAGTTTGGACGTGTGTAGTGCTACATTTTACCAAACGAAGCATGTCACAAGTGTTTGGAATGAAAACACCACAGTAGCTGTAGCAACAGATGACCTGGGCTCACGGAAAACACCATTAGCTAATACTAGAGGCTGCACAACCCACCGGCTGTGGCAGAAAGTAAGGATGTTTATTGAAGTACCTCGTGTAGGTTTAGGTGCTTCCACTTTTGCACGAGTATTTTTATTTTCTTTTACTTTATATTTCAACTGTACATTTTTCAGAGCTTTAATTACTTTGAAAATTATTGATAGTACCAACAAAGTACAGGATTTGTTTATATAAACATTTATGTCAGTTAGTATTAGCTCAACCAGCTGCAACATTAAAGCACCATTTACATGTGAACTAGTGGTTAGTAATCAGTTTATTGATCAACAGAACACTGGTGATTGGTAAGTGTTTTGTAATTTTAATCATTTTTTAAGCAAACAAAATATCTGATGATTGTATTTTCTCAAGATTAAAGTTTTTATATCATTTTTTTATTACTATTATTGAAATAAACTGAATATCGTGGCGTTTTGAACTGTTGGTCAAACAAAAGGACATGAAGGAACAAGGTATGGATGCTGAATCAGCATCCACACAATTCTGACCTGCAGTCTTTATATAGAACATTAGTAGATAATGAAAATGAAAGGTGGAGGGGGGGCTACACCAAGGATCGGCTTTGAGTCCCTTCTTGTTTGCTATGGTGATGGACAGGTTGACAGATGAGGTCAGACAGGAATCTGAAGAAGTAGACAATGAAAATAATCCTTAGTGGCTGCCTGAATGTAAATTAATATACAGTAGTGTAACACTGGCCGGGCTGTTCTGCATGATCACTACTTGTTATAAGCTCTAATATATTTGGTAGGTAACATTTCTGTAGTTTTAGACTTTTGAAACACGTGGTTTTTACTTTACTGTAATGGAGTATATATGTAGTGCGGGATGCTTTTCTTTTTACAAAGTAAATAACTGAGTAGTTCCCACGTTTAAAGCTCCGGTTCCGTGTAAAGCTTGGACGGATTTGATGTTTGTGTTGGAGAGCAGCTGTTTAATGTTTCAGTCCGCTGGGCGGCGCTGTGCACATCCAACTACGTCAAATCGGACCCAGTGGGACACGTTCGGAACGGAAGTCCAAATATTTGCCCTTCAAAGAAGAAGAATATGTTGATGAAATAGGTTCAATAGACTCCGAAGAAACGAGATCTTTCTTAATTGCTTCGCTTTTTGTCTTTTAAATTTCATAAAGTAGTAAATGAACCAATTTCCAAAGCTTGTCGTGATGTCATCAACTGGCACGTTGTGTCTAACCAGTCGTCCAGAGTCCAAGTAGGTTTGGGGGGGCACCTTTAGACCTTTTGTCTTTGGCTGAACCCAGTGTCCGTTTAGCGCTGCTGTAAAACTGAAATGCATCAGTTCCAGAGGTTGTTGTCACCGGTCTTTTATTGTGAAGAGAGCTCACCGGAAGTCGTGCATCTCCACATCAGCGCTCGTTAACCGAGTCGGGCCCAGTCAAAACAATGCAGCTGTGCATCGCTAGCTTTTCATGAGCAACGCATTGCTGACTGTCTTCTCGTCCGTTTAGGTAAATTCACTGCCCGGGTTTGACTCCAGGGGGTTTTAGTCCATCGTCCCCGTGGGAGGTTTGTTTTGTCGTGGGAGTTTTGTTTTGTCGTCAGTGACGGTGGATATGGAGACGGCTAACGGGGGTCTGTTGGGAGCACTGGAAGGGAGCGGCTGAAAACACGAAACACAGGAAAGGGGAATATAAATAAAAAGAATTTCACAAGCTCCTGATCGTCCGGCTGGTGCGTCTGCGGTGTTGACGCTAACGGGCTGCTCCGACCGAGCGACGGGCGGACAGCTCGCCTTGACCGTGGAGGATCATGGCCCCGGGCTCGCTGGTGGCGGCCTGCTGCAGCCTGGCCCTCTCTACGTGGCTGCTCTCCTTCTGCTTCGTCCACCTGCTGTGCCTGGATTTCACCGTGGCTGAGCGGGAGGAGTGGTACACCGCCTTCGTCAACATCACCTACGTGGACCCGGCTACGTCGGAGCTCCGCACCGAGAAGACGGAGTGCGGGCGCTACGGGGAGCAGTCGCCGAAGCGGGACGCCAAGGGGGTGGTGGTCCTGCCCGGAGCCCCGCACGACCGCCAGGCCTGCGACCCCAACACACGATTCACGGTGCCCGCACAGGCCGGGGCCTGGATAGCGCTGATAGCCCCGGGCAACTGCACCTACAAGGACAAGATCCGCCACGCCGCAGCCCACAACGCCTCGGCGGTGGTCATCTTTAACGTGGGCTCCGCTAATGCCAACGACACCATCACCATGCCTTATGCAGGTGAGATGAAGCCTTAAACCGATGGATCAATATTACATGTCACTGAAACACATGGATCTGTTTTCTGACAACTTCAGACAAGTGCCGTCGATAAACTTACTCTGATCCATCATTAGTAAAATCACCAGTAAGGACATTTTATTTTAGTCCTGTGTCTCGTTCAACTTCACATGTATTTAAAGCCAAAAGCCAAGACAAGGACCTCTAATAGAAGTCAGGATTATATTTAATTAAAAAATCTATTAGCTGCTTTTTATTCTCTTCCATAGTAGCAAACCTAAGATTCACTATCTTCTGACCTTTTATAGACGAAATAATCAGTCGATTAATTCAGGAAATAGTTTGCAAACTGATCAGTAATGATAATAAGAATTAGCAGTGGATCAGTGTGAACTGGATCCCAGTTTGTCTGAACTGGTTATCAGACTGTGCCTTATTGGTTTCTGTCATTTCCAGACCGACTGTTTTCACCTCAGCTGTTTAGAAGAACTGCCTGTGATGTTTGTAGGCAGTTATGATTGTGTGCCCAGTTACGTAACAGGGAGACTGGGCTGCATTGGCAGATGAACTGGTGTTTTTATTCACTGTCAGACTTGCAGCTGTTTCTCTGGCAGCTGGAAAGTACCCCAGGGACCCGGAGGTCCATGGCTCGTGGTCTGGAAGCTGGTCATTCAGGAAATACCAGCAACAGGGTGTGTGTTTACTTTAGTTCAAGTTTCTCACGATGTTCTCCGTGTCAGGGCCGTTTCCTGACTGGCGCTGGAGTTGTTGCTCCAGAGAAGTCGGTCTGGCCCTTTTCCCTCGTCCCTCTGTCCCCAGTGGACCTCATGGAAGTCTCTCTTTGGACTGAGCACATGTTACATAATGACCTCCAATAAGAAAAGTTCTCACACAGCACTTTGCCCCCAGGCCGTTGACATTGGACTCATTCTGATCCACATTACCATTAGTTTTAATTAGTTTCAGTAAGTGCAGCAGCCACTCTGTTTCCTCATTTAGCCGAACACCATCTCTGCTGCAGCGTCTGAGCAGATCCTTGTTGTCCACAACACTGTGGAGGCAGGCGGTTTGAACTGAACCAGACTTTGGGCTGACTGATCTTCTTTACTTGATCCAAGCTGAGGTTTGGTAAAGCAGTGCAGCGTGCCGGGATCGGCTGCAGAACAAGCAGTTTGGTGTCACTGACTCCCGTGTTATGTGCTTTACATATCAGACAAGTTGAAATGGCAGAAATAACGAAGCACAGATGTTTTGCTTGCACAAACAAATGAAACCACTTTGGAGTCATTGAGCGTTCGTGGGGTGTTGACATAACAGGCCTATGTGGGAAAAACTGTTCCTGTTTTCTCTAGAGATGATTCACACAGAATTTCATGGTCTGCTCACAAACAGGATGATTCACACAGAATTTCATGGTCTGGTCACACAGTTTTAATCACATCGTGATCACGTGGGTGATGGCCTCACACAGGTGTAATGTGTGCACAAGGTTCAGTAGCCTTCCCTATGGACGTCAGTTATGTGGTTCACCGTTCTCTCTGTTTAGTTAAGACGCCCAACCTGCGTAACTAAGGTGCAGGATTAACTAGTAAAATATTCACCTTGTTTAACTCGGTTCTTCTATTTACATTGTTAGATTTCTAGCTCCTCTGCCAAAGAAGTTAGCTCAGTAAAAGGCTTCCCCTCAGAAGCCACAGGTAGGTCGGCAGTTCTCTGTTAAAGGCACAAACCCAGGCTGAGGTTCATTGTTGACCCTGAATGGGCCCTTTTCACAGTGATGTCAGCTAACATGGTGACTCCAGGGTGAGGGGGTTTCACTGTTTTCAGTTCAGTGCTGCACTGGGGCAGATGGATTTAAGAGCAAGGCCACAGTCCAACGTTTCCCTGAGGTTGTTTAAAAATAAAAAAGGACAACACCAGCAGCCGCTAGAATAACAACATTGTAAATCACATTTGTTCACAACAGTATTAGTTTATTTTTTGTTGCTGCCACAGATCAGTGGTGAACCCAGCTCTCTGAAAGCTGTCAAGAGGTTTAGCGGTGACGGTGTGCAGGAGCCACAGAGAAGTAGAAAACATCAGTGGGTGTCCTCGCAGCTATAGAAATACAAATGAGTGTTGTGGAGACACAGTGATCGGTTTTATTGGTGCGTGTGTGGTGGACTGAGTTCTGTGCTGAACACCTACAAGTATAGCAATGGAAAAGTTACTCAGAATAGTTTATTACTGTGTCGTCCATGTGTCTTCTACATCAGTTTATCGTCTCCACGGTGCAGGAAGTGACTTTGTCCAGAGTCGTCCTTTCACACATGTAACATGCAGCAGGAGACGGTCCGTGTCAGACACCTGGGTAGAGCGCACAGGGGGCGGGACATGAGCTGGTCAGGTAGCCGGTGTGTCACTTGGTCATAAATAGCCCGGCCCCCTGCTGTACCACGATTCTGGTGCCACCTCTTAACAACACAAGTTCCTGATTCTCATCTCATCTCCAGCTAGATTGTTTTGTTGGCGTCTTCACTGTAAATGACTGCTTTTCTTCCTGATTCCCACCGGTCACATGACAGAACGTCGTCAACACGCCCACTAGCTCTGTGTGATTACTCCGGACTATACGCTGCTGTGTTCTCACTTGGCCCTTATGCAGACGTGGTACTAGGGAGCTGGCAGAGTAGAGTCCACTTGAGGTCTGGATCAGCTGACTTGGACATTTGCATCTAGAGAATTTCAGGGTTGTAGTGCAGGTCTGAAAAGGGCTCTAGACTGACGCTCCCTGGAGCCGGACTCAGATGGAAAACATTAAGAACGCCAGCAGATTGTAAGAGTACGTGAGGGTGGACAGACAGTTACAACAGTGTTTGTGACAAACGTTTCTGTACACAGCCTCCCTCAGCGTTCCTGCAGTTAATCACCCGCCTGCCAGCGACAGCCCCCGTCTGTGTGTGTAACTAATTAGTTGTAAACTCATGTGGACATATTCTGGACAGCCTGGGAGACATTTGTAACCAGTGGAGGAATTTCCGGCACTTTTTAACTCGTCCAACATGTTGTGAACTGTGTTCTAGGCTCAAACCTGCTGCACTAGTTTTATGTTGAACATTCAATATGGAAGTCAAACTTTAGCTTCTGTAACTGCCAAATGTGATGTAGTGACACAAACTTGCAGAGCTCAAGGGGCTGTGTTTGTTCACAAACACAAAGTGTGTGTGTGTGTGTACGAGTTTGTGTTGTGTTGTGTTTGGCTCAGAGGAGGTGTTCTCGCTCATTTACTGATGAATCCTCGAGCGACTAACACACTGAATCATTAGCAGCTGCAGACCCTGATCCTGTGAACGATAAGGAGACAGAACTTCCTCCTCCAGACTCTTCATTCATCACTTGTGCTCTCCAGAAATCACACACCAGACCGCTGTCACTGACTAATTCCTGGTCATCACAGTAGACTCAGGTCTGTAGCTGTGTATCTGCAGATATCACTGTTAAGCTCAGACCCAAACTAACTGCATTTCCTCTCACCAGAAGGTCATGGTAGGTGAAGTACTGGAAAAGTATTAATGTAACTGTGATGGCATGACAGCAAAGGTCCCTGTAAAGCTGAGAATCAGGGCAGTGCAGCCTCAGGCTTGGCCTCAATAAAAGGACGTAAACATGTTTACATGAGACATTCAGCTACAGCTAACAGTTATTTATCAGTTCATCAAATCATTTCTCTCTGTTTGTTTATAAAATGTCAGAAGTTGGTTAGGAAGCAAGGGGATTTTTTTTTTTTTGTCTGACCAGCAGCTCAAAACCTAAAGACATGCACATTAGACATTTGAGGGGCTGCGAGCAAAGCACTGTGGGATTGTTTCTTAAAAAATGATTGACTAAGTATTTGCAGGTAAAAACTAACAGTAATCACTTTGAATTAAACATGATGCTGCAAACAAGGTGTAATTTTATAGGATGTCTTAAAGTGGTTCCCAGAGTGGGCGTCTTCACACCTGGAGGCCTTAAGGAAGGACCCAAGGTGCATGTTTTGGAGTGTGCATGTTTGCTCAGAGGAGTAAAGGTCGTGTTAGTTTTACCCACAGACCACGTGGCATGATTCATAGTTAAACCAGCTGATTCATTAGTACACAAGCTGAGCTGTGTAGAGAAGATGTGCTTCTTAAAGTTTGAGGTAGAGATGAACTAGGACTCCCAAGATGCATTTTGGCAGGAAACCTCCAGTTGCAGGGAGAACCTAAAGGTTAAAGTAGTTTTAACAGTCTGCAGTTTTAATCAGTTTACCTGTGGGCGGTTTTCTTTTGTCCTAATGCTGTTTTCTAACTGGACAGTCAGCACTTTGTTTGGACTTTAGACTTAACGTTCTGGCCAGGGGCTGTGCACGTATCCAGGTCAGACGGCTGCTGTTTGTTTGGATCATAGACTGTATGTAAAGATGGCTGACATGTCACTGCTTCCTGACACTATGCAAAGGTGAAGCCAAAATTAGCATGATAATAGTTACTAAAAACCACAGAATCACTTTTGGGGAAAATATATTTGATTTGTAGTTTGAATTTTTAGTTTGGTTCGTGTCCTGTTCGCTGACATGGAGGGGGCGGGGTTTATGGCCTATACTGAAACAAGCCACCAGGGGGCGATTGACGGCAGCTACACATTGTTTGTCTGCAGTTTATGGTTTGGAACGTTACACTTAGCGGCCACCTTAGCTCACTGTGCACATTTCCCTCTTCAGGTACAGGTGAGGTGGTCGCCATCATGATCCCAGAGCCAAAAGGCCGCGAGGTCGTATGGCTGCTGGAGCGTAATGTGACAGTCACCATGACGATCACCATCGGGACGAGGAACCTGCAGAAGTACGTCAGCAGGACGTCGGTGGTGTTTGTGTCCATCTCCTTCATCGTGCTCATGATCATCTCTCTTGCCTGGCTTGTCTTCTACTACATCCAGAGGTTTAGATACGCCAACGCTCGAGACAGGAACCAGGTACACACGCACTCAGTGATGCGTACATTACACACAGTTATACTTAAAGGAACTTTACAGCGCCCCAGGGGATTATTTTGTCCAGGTATCTGCCTCCCTTGTCTCACCTGCATCTAAATCTGTCACGTCCACCTCCCTTCCCTCTTTGTCCAGCGTCGACTTGGGGATGCAGCGAAGAAGGCCATCAGTAAGCTCCAGGTTCGCACCATCAGGAGGGGCGATCAGGAGACGGAGGCCGACTTCGACAACTGTGCCGTCTGCATCGAGGGCTACAAGGCCAATGACGTGGTCCGCATACTGCCCTGCAGGTAAAGACACAGTGACCTCCGACCAGAATCGTTCAGGGCTTCATGCTAAGTTGACAGAATGTTTTGGCCACTAGAAGCAAACACAGTGACGTGAACAGAAAAAAACCTGAATGAAATGAATAATATTTGGTGTGTACGTGGTTTACCTTTAACACCAGTTCTACTGAGCACAGTGTTTCCAGGTACTTGGCAGGCAGGTTGTTCCAGCATCGTGGACAACCTGTACGAGTTCTTCTGTGGGTTCATGGTGTCTTATGTCTCATCATGTGATCCCAGACTGACTCCATGATCAGGGCTCTGTGGGGGCCGGACCATCTGCTGCAGGACTCCAGGTTCTTCTGGTCTCCCAGCATGGTTCTTTATGTCTCTGTGGCGAGTTAGGCCCAGTGGCAGGCTGCAGGTGGCATCTGATGAATCTGAATATCTAAAGTGCCTAATGTACTGTTTCTAATGTCAACTGAATATTTTTGTTGAATCAGAATAAAATGCAGTTTCTGGAAAATGCCAAAAAGCTATTGCCTGAAACCTCAGGAAAATAAAATTCAGTTGCACCTTTTAGCATCTTGATGTTGATATTAAAACGTCCTCCACTGTAAATGCAGTTTTTCTTAGTTGTTGTCATAAAGGGTACTGTTGAGGGGTAAAACAACGTATGTGGGGAAGAGCTGTGTAAAGCTTTGTGTGCAGAGGGAGCTGATGTCACCTGAGTCGGCGTCACAGTGGATTAAAGAGCAGAGTGACCACATCTCCACTGACTCTATAAGGACTGTTTCTATTTACAGTCGTGGTGGATCATGGGAATGTTCCAAACATTGGCTTGGCTGCTTTCCTTCAAAGAAAGAAGCTGAAATCAGTATCAATAATTATATTTTTGACAAGTTAGCGACATGTGACATCTAGAACACCAACAGCCAAGTAGTTTGCAAGTCATTTAAAAATAGTACTTTGCTGATAAATCCTGCTGTTCCCTACAGAAACCAGTGGATCTTAATCGGCTGTTTGGAACTATTTAAAGCTACACGAGTCACATGACCTGCTGCCATTTTTGACCCCTCAGTGTCGGACGTTGTCTACCTTGACGGCTGAAGACAGGTCTGAAAAGTAAAAAACTCTGAAGGTGTAGATTTACAAAGCAGTGAGTTGACCAGCACTACAAGCATAACACACCTTAATGTCTGACTGGAACTGTTGGAGGTTGTGTTGCATTCTGGGTAATTTAGACACCATGGTTTGACAAGACAGTAATTTGGAGTGAGACATTTGGTTCCACTGACTGTTTTATACTTTTTAACTGTCCGTCATCAGTCTGACGCTGTTGACGGGGTGTGACAGCGATGCCGGGCTGGTTCGTAGGTTAATTAGTTCACTTTATTGAGCTTTGGATGATTTATTTTGGTGTCATGTGATCAGTAAAGGAGTGCGGTGCTGAAAGTGGTTTGCAGTTGTGTGGAGCTGAACTTAGGACAAACTGTAGGAATGCTTGGAGAGCAGGACTGTGTGTAAAGAGCAGGAGACGAGGTTATGAAATCATTTTGGTGAAATAAAAAGCATGTTCATCCAGGTTTCTCTCGTCTTGTTTAACTGCACAAAATGAAAGCAGCTGTGAACTTGATTGTCCTCCAGCATTTTTCTCTGTTTGTTGTGTGGTGCAGAGTTACAGTCATGCAACTGATTTCACCGTGTTTGGCTTCTTTGCAGACATTTGTTCCATAAGAGCTGCGTGGATCCGTGGCTGCTGGATCACCGCACGTGTCCGATGTGCAAGATGAACATCCTGAAGGCCCTGGGCATCACTGTGAGTGTGGGGGAGGGGCTGGAACGAGATCGCTTTGGTTTTACCTTGTGTTTTTCCAGGACAAGTAGGGCTGCGGCCTCGAAAACTGAGTTTCTGTCCCATGACATGGTTTTGAAACCACATCTTTTTTTGCTGACTGTCCTGGTGATAAGACCTCAGCTTCCTGCTTTTGTTTTTTCTTTTGTATGCATGTACAAATGTGGAAACCTTTTTGACTTTTGGACTGAATTGTTTTAAATATAATATATTGTTCTGTCTTCAGTTTGTTCTCTGCACATGCTCACACATAAAAAGCTCATTTGAAAAATGTTTAAATGTGGTGATGACCAATAAATCAGTGACCCTGGTGAAACCGGGTTCCTAATGCCCCGAATAGAAAAGGCTGGTTGCTCTGGTGACGTTTAGTTGATCGGCTGATGACGGCAGCCTGGCTGGTTCACGGCATGTATATGGACCGAATGTTCCCAAAACAGCTAAAGTTTTAAAAACAGTTTCTTTACAGAGGCAAATAAAATCCTATTGTAACAAACAGCTTGTGAAATGCACTAGATTTAGCTAAACTGTGGCACATTTACATAAAATATCAGTTTTACAAAACTATTTTTTATCATTCTTGAAATGCACGTTTGTATTTATTATGTAACAGTTTCAGCCAGTTAAATAGGTCATGGTCCAGTTAGGTAGACACCATCTGTCCTGCAGCACTGCCAGTAAATGTTTGGTCAGATCATTGCCCTTGTTTATTTACTGATTTAAATCACGATTTAGTTATTTGTAAAGTCCTTGAACAACTGGTTTTGTGTGTGAAGCAGAATGAACATTAGAAAAAACACCAATTCAAAAGCACTGATTCTCTTTCTACCAAAACGTGGGCACAGGTGTAGAAGTATTTCACACACTGCTGTTATGATGGTACAGTGACCGTATCCTCTCCGCTCCAGTTGAATGCAGACTGCCTGGACGACCTGCCTCTGGACTATGACCTGGCCCTGGGTGGCGTTGGCGGGGTTGGAGTGGGTGGAGTCGGGGCCCTGGCCCTGGAAGCCATAGTGTCAGGGGCGTCGAGTGACGGCACACTGAGTGAGGGCGGCTCCTCGGTGACGCTGGACCCCGGGGTCCGACGGGTGGGTCTCCCCCAGGACTACCACGACCCCGACACCCTGAGAGACAGCCCTGTGACGGCCACCACCGGCACGCATATAGGTAACACACATGAGGTGTTTTTCCATCATAGGGACCTACCTCACCGAATAACATTTGTCACAGGTTCTGCGTTTGTTCCCACTATGGTGTGCCCGCTTTGGAGGTGCAGGAGGGAAGGGGTGCGTGCATGCAGAGCAGTCACCGGTGATTGGTTAAATGCCCGCGTCTTCACACCTCAAGCATTACCATTACAAGCACCATGTGTGAGGGGGGAGCAACCCCTCCCTCCTCCAAATAGAGAGCAACAGAGAGAAAGTACAGTGGAGAAACAAAGCAGGACGGTCGGCGTCAGCCCCGGCGCCTACGCTGGGTGATGGCTAAGGGAAGTACGTGGTGTACTGCTCATTAGGGCCCAGTAGTGGAAACACTGCAGTACTGTGTGGCTCAATAACCAGATCAGTGATGTTATACTGACCCCCAGTGGTGATTCTGCTACATAACAGTTTTTAGTTGTGATGGGTGTTAAATCCACAGGTACAGAACATTTCTGGAGCTGCTTCTTTTGCTCATTGCCCATTTTTACTGTTGCAACAGGATGTGGTGAGAAACATAAAGGAAAGAAGGAAGATGCAGCATAAAGTTTAATTGGGTGAGAAACCAGAGTGAAGCATTTAATGTGAGGTTTGTTTTAGTTTCCCCTGTTGGTTCAGCATCAGCATTTTCAGACAACTCTGTTTGATTCACAATTACGATACAAGAATTATTCCAGGTTTTACTGTGACATGATTTCAGAGGCACCAAAGTTACATTTCCTGCTGTTTCACTAGATCATCATCTGGTTCATGGATCAGCACCTGCTGCTCATTTATTACCTCCTCAGCTGCTCAGATCATGTTACACAGGCATTTTCTCCTCTTGTACACTGTCAACGTTTATTTGACTGGAGCTCAGTTCCTCTAATTTTGTTGATAAAACGGTTCTGAAAGAAAAATTGTATTTAATGTCTAGTTTATAGTATGAAGCAGTGCCACAGCATTTAAATCTGTCCCACTAATTTAGTTTGAAATGTCCCTTGTTGGGGCCTTCGAGTTCTCAAAACATCATGATTTTATTAGTAGTTTTCCATTCCATGGTAGCACCTTCTGGATTTAGCGTTCTTATTAGATCCATTTACATGGTTATCTATGTAGTTTTACAATTCTTAACTTTAACAGAACCGAGCATGTCATGTCCTAATCTTTATTTGTCCATGCATGTGTCACAGCAGGATTTGCTTCTTGTCAAAATTAGCAGAAGTTCCCTGGATTTCTTGACTGGGAATCATTAGCGAGTCTCATCAGGTCCTGTTCAGATTCTGGGTCTTCATTATAACCCAGGCTTCCCCTCTGTCCTACAGGTGAGCTTCAGCCAATGGCGAGCAGTGCCTCAGTGGCATCATTGGTCATCGCCGTGGAAACTGGTCTATCAGATGAGGAGGGGCCCATGGTGCCGTCTCATCTGGGGGACAAATCCTGAGAGGAGCAGAACCAAACCAAAACCCAAGCCAAAACGGAGTCGAATCAAGTTCAGATTTTCAACAGACTAGAGTGGGCCTGAAGGTCCAGAAAGCGACCTGACTGAACCAGATTGGAACCAAACCTAACTGTACTAGACTGTGAATGACTGGAGCTAGGCCCAGGAGCTGGTTCTGGTTTTGACTGGTTCCAGGATAAAGCTAAATCCAGAACCATCACCAGGGTTTGACTTGTTTTTTTTTTTTTTATCTTTGGACTCAAAGGAAACTGACTGACCTGGTTTGGCGTCCTTTCCCAGACACCTGGAGACGTTGGACCTGACCTGGGTGTTGTTCAGTTTACCTTGGTCTCATGTTTGGCAGGTGTTTTTTCAAGGTTAAACCTATCTGCCTATTTGCTGTCTTTCTGTGCAGATGTCTTGACCAGCCCACACCTTCATGCTGTTTCTAGACACATTTCTGCAGTTCGTGTCTCGGCCCAACTCGTATGTCATTAACCCAGACAAACTTCCATAGTGGCAGAAGGAAGAAATATAAATTAAGTCCTACATTTCAAATGTTGAGAGGCTCGACTTGATGTTTGCCTGCAGACTTGAAGCGCTTTGGAAGAGCAGATGGGATTTAAATTCTCAAGCTAAACAAATTCCAAGAGGCACATTTATATCGACAAACCCTGAGGATGATCAGAATCTCATCAGTAATCATGTGAACAGACTAAAACCTGAGAAAGTTGGCTGCCAGAAGAGGACTCACTCTTTGAAAGGGTCAACATTCCCCTTCATCAGGGAGTACGGACGACCTTGACTGCTTGAGAATGTCTGAGTGATCTGGGCCAGGAATCTGGATTTACCTGCTTATTTCTGTCAGATCTACTTCACGAGAAGCGCTCGTGTTTTGAGACCTTTGAGGAATATAGGTACCTGAATTTTCCAAGTAGAGAGGCACAACAGCTAAACAAACCTTGACAAACAATGGTGCTGTATCAGGGCTGCCCACTTCTGGTCCTGGTCTGGATTCTTGAAGAGTTCATCTTGCTTATTTAGCTCATTTTAATATGCCTGCCACCATGCCAGGTGCTGTTTCTTGACCTGTGCGACATCTACCATGACTGACTTCATTTTGGAAGGAGGACTTTAAAAGGACAAACCAAGTGTGTTGAGCAGCGGATTCGATCTTTTTTGTTTTTCTTATGTTGTTCTTAAGCAGTAGACTCGTATTTCAGCAGTATTACACTTTCAGTTTGACCGCAGTATTGATTAGCAACTACACACAGTATTTAGTTTTCCCCTCTTTTTGCCTGTCTGTATATTTTAGGCTTTATATTTACGTTGCTCTGACAGTGTTGGGTTTGGCTGCTCGCAGTCTCAGCTGTGGTTCGAAACAGGGTTTCTATGTGTCTGAAAAACTGCTAACTGCTAAAAATGCTCTTGACAGTTAAGGTAAAGTTTGAAGAAGGTCGGTGTATAATTTCACTTCAGCAAATAATGTAGATGTGCTGACTGCAACGCACAGATGGAAGAAATAAGTAAAAGGACTGAAAACTAGCAACACATCATGTAGCTTGGTAAGTTAGAAAATGTCTAACACAGTCTGAACTTGTGACTTTTATGGTCAGACTGTACAGATCAGTTGTTTGCTGAGCACGAACTCAACAACACCGTAAAGAAACGAGGAGCCGCGGCGGGAAATGTTGATGGTCCCAGTTGAGGTTTTGTAGTTTATACTGGAGCCTTTGACAACAGCCAAACTGTAAGACAGTCAGCCAGAGCTTTGGATCCATCAGAAACCAAAGTGGTCGCTTGACATCCAGACTGATAATTGTATATTAGCTAATGACCAGTTGCAGAAATTTGGCCCATTTCTGAGATGACTTGGTGTCACCAGGTCAGAGCTGGAACCTGTGTGAAACTCCAGAGTGTCTGTCCGGCTTTAGGTTGACGAAAGACTTGCGTCATCAGTCTTCCATTGTGTTGCCTTTGCTGAGTAGTAGTGTGTGATAACAATTATCTCAACTTCCTGCTTCAGCCCTCCGATAAAATGCCATGAAGGAACTTTTGGTTTTAGTGAGGTTTTCCTGTCCGTCCGTCTGCCTGACCACATGTCCAGCACAGTGGCCTCATGCTGCCTTTTTAAAAACACATTTACCTTTAATCCTGACAATCGAGGACCGGATCTCTCACGTGCCGTGAGGGATCAGTTCTCTGAACTTCAGCCAACTTAAGTTTTCATATCCACTGTGTGTACACCACAGTAGGCGTTAGCTGCCGTTACTATTTCCAGAGGTTAAATAATCAACACTAAAATGTGATGAGAGGGGTCCAAGTTAGTGGGTTGGAGAAGTACCTTCACAGCTGTGGACGGCGAAGTCCGACAGAGAATCTCTCCTCGCTTCGAGAGGTTGTTTTGCTCTGGATGTGTTTGTCAGTTCAAAGCCCAACATGTAAATATAAAATGTATGTTCCACTGCGGGACGTGGCGTCGCTGTCTGGTCGTGCCATGGTGTCGCCAGCACCGTGAGCTTCCTGAAACCGAGAGGTAAAGATTGTCGTCTATTTTGATACCAGAGGAGAAGTTTATTTTTGTAACGAAGACATTCAGCAGCGAAGGCTGATTTCCCTCCTGCCCCTCTTTACCTTTGGCCAAGTGACTCAGTGTGACTGAGTACAGATCAGGAAGTTTAAGTGTGTATTATTTGTGTAATTGTAAATACACAGTACACAAAGCACCTAGACGATGCCGAGCTCTTGTTGCCCTGTAAACACCTGGGATCTGATTGTCAGCGTGGCCTGATGAGTGCTGAGCCTGATCGCTGGCTGGAGGACCAACACTGTACTGACTGTGTCCCCCTCACCTTTGGTACCGATGTGAAACCTTTTTGCTGCCATTCTAAAAGAAAAATTGGTTTTAAAAATTGTCGATTAATTTATAGAGCAGTGTATGAATCTCAGCATCTGAACCCGTCGTTTGTGTACCAACAGAAAGCATGACAGGATTTACAGCCAGTTACACAACTGTTGTTTTTACTTCACCATTAACAGGTTGTGTAACTATTTACAGGATATGCAATGGCTTTTAGTAGTAAGACATTTGGTTTGGGGGAACAAGAATTAGTACCCAGTTGTAAGAGAAAAGCAGTACTGGTTTCCAGTCCTGCCAGTGACTTCTCTCAGACCTTCAGAAACCAGAAGGACTTTTACTTTTTTTAAAAATCTTCTTCCAACTTTGCTTCCTGTTTCCTGTCTGCTCACAGTTCAGTTTCAGGGCTGAGGACTAGTTCACACTTCATTCAGGCAGATGTATAACAAACACTAGCTAATTTAAACATGGTGAAGCGGTGCCGAGCTTATTTGCTGTATTATACGATGATGGATTTGAATGCATTGTCTTGGCAAATTTTCAGTGAATAATGTTATAATTAAAGTCGCTTCCTTTATGTTGCAAGCTTTATTTTCAGTGAGTTTAGTTGAGCATCACGTCATTTTAAACCTTTGCACTGTTTCATTCTTATGTGACTACGGTTCCGCTGCCACAGGATTGGATGTGAACTGAGCTCAACTCCTTCAAATCTGTTTACTCTGTTCAGCCGCTGTGCATGCTGGTCCCCCATGATGCTCGGTGTCGCATCTCAAGTACTACTGGTACTTTGTCATCAACTGAATAGTGTAGGATCGAGAGCTGGTAAGTACAGAAACTGGCATCGACTCGCTAATCGCTAATTTTTTGTACTTATGATTTATGTAAAAGAAAACCCAGCTGTTGTATTCCTGTACGCCTGCTTGTGTTTAGACAAAATTAAACACTTAAGGTTTTACGAGTTTCTTTTTAATTACAGAAAAAGGTTTTGTAGTTGATGTTTTTAAAAGTATTCAGAATGATAACCAGCTCCAAACCCTTCATACGTCATTACTACCAACTTTTGCCAATGATAAAAAAAACAAGTGACATATTTCTATTTAAGAACAAATTAACATACAGTTGCCAATTAATCTTAATTGAGTGAATTAGAAAATGTTGTATAAGTTAATTAAGTCTTTTCTCATACTGGGATAGTATGGGAAATCTCAACATTACAGGTAATTTCACAAAACTAATGTGAATACAGGCCACATATTTAGTAACTACACTGCACTAATGAGGCTATAATTGGCTGATACTGATCTAATTATGAGACAGATCTCATAATTACTGTGTGAACTTTGGAAATCCCAGTTAAAAGGAGAGACCTTCTCTCTTCATGTAAGCCTGAGAATGAAGGTTCGAGGTTTTGTAGATCCTTCCAAGACACTAACGTTACCATGATTTAGAACTGGGCCCTCCTGTTAGTCGGTAAGGAGATGTCTGATTGGTTCATTGTTCTTCCTGTTCCTGCCTTTCCCTGTTTTGATTGCTCAGCCTCTTTTGTGTTTGCACTTTAATTCTACGCCTCTGGAAGGTTCTAGAGAAGTCTCTTTTTGTCTCTTGCCTTTATTTCGCCTTGTGCTTTCTGTTGCCTTCCACTGTTTTCACTCTTATTTCATTTTAAAAGTCTTGTTGACCCTTACTCCTTTGTTCCTGTACTTGACCTTGTTCATCTTTATGTTTTTCTCTTGTCCTTATGTCTGGTTTTCTCTCAAGACCCCTGTTGAAAATATTGTGGTGCTGTGTGAGAAGGTGTTGAATTTTGTGAATGGAACTGAAAAGGGATCTGGAAAAACTAAGGAAGAATGTTTTGTGCCTACTGGTCCCTGTTAAACTACACACTATGTATTTGTTGACCACCTGTCTTTTAGCTTCATGGTCCGATTTGTGTTGTAGTCTGTAAACCTGCAGATAGATCTGGTCATGTGTAAGAAGACCTTGTACCTATAAAGGCCGGTTTAGTGACAAAGTGCGAGGGTCCAACGTGCAGGCCAAAGCTGTGGGTCTGCATGGACTGTCCACTCAACAAAAATATTACAGGGCGTGGACCAGAAGTTTTGACGTAGGAATAGGAGTGCATGTGCATCCTTTGTTCATATGGGCCAAGATCGAATTGGCCTTAAGAACAAAGTCTGCTTTCCGCTGGGTTTAAATAACGTTTCAACAGTGCTATGTTAGCATTTAATCACAACTACAGACGAGCAAGTCGAGGGCAAAGAAAGGACGAAACATCCAGATCCTTCCAGAGAGACAGCATGAGATGTCTTTGTAACCATGGTAACCCCCTCAGCTACCATGACGATGGGGTGTGTGACGTGTGCATTTCAACAATATTAATTGTTTTCATAATGTCTGTCTGTGAGATTGTCCTGTGCACATGAACACAAAATAAACGTGTAAATGCAAGATGGGTGTGACGTCATGTTTCTGTGCTTCAGACATTTTTCTTTACAAACATGGTGAACATGTATTTTCATTATAGATTAATCTGTGGATCATTTTCTTGATGCTACTGGGCCAGTAATGCTGCTACTATTTTCCTACCAGGGCAGTTTATCTTGTTTTGTTTTGTTTGTTTTTTTTTTTGTTACTGTTACATTTTACCTACTAGACTAGTGCTGGTCCTGCTCCTGGCGCCCAGGAAACAGTTCTGGTGGTTCAGCGGTACACGAGCAGAAGTATTTGGGTTGTATTTGCTGCTGTCCTGAGAACAGCAGCCTTTCACTTTTAAGCAGCAGTGGTTGTTGAAGTGATGTAAAATGGACGGCAGCTCTCCCTCTTCATTGCTGGTAAATATTTCATGAAAAGCTGCACGAAGGCTCAAACACACTGTGACTGTGGCAGAGTCTAATTCCCAAATATTATATCTTTTCCTTTCTAGCCCTTATTTTTATTTCTTATTCTGTTTTCCTTTAACATCCCTTCTTTTGTTTGTTTTCCCTTCACACCTTTTATTTAGCCTTTTTTCTTTCTCATTTTTTTGTTCATATTTTTCTGATCTTTCTCTTCATGTCACTGTAATTCCTGCAGCAGTAGCAAACCTTGACTGATAGGGGGCGACACACACAAACACTAAGATTTGCATTGCTTGGTGACAAACACCATCATGTTTGGGAGACAACATCCAGTTTAATGTAACATCACATTAAAATGCATTTCACTCATTCCTTTGTTTACTTTGTCAGATCTTTCGATTTCTCCCATGAGGGACTACATGAAGTATGTAGAAAACCGGAACTACATTTTAACTTTTGCATTCTTACCACTCTTTCTTCCTGTTATCCACCTCTTCATCCACTGCAGCTCCTCTTACAGATCACTCTGTCATTAAAGTGATCATAGCAGCACCTGGGGGCTCGTGTAAATAATAAAGGATACTGGAAGTTTAATGCCAATTTACTCTCATCCCAAACATTTTATGATGGTATTAAATCTATCATCCTTAACATAATGACTGATGACTCTGTGACATCCTACATATCTAAATTGGAACTCTTGAAATTTAAATTTCAAGAATTCGCCATTCAATGTGGGAAAATCATCAGTCTTCTTCTTTCAGCTGTTCCCATTAGGGGTCACCACAGCGAATCATCTGTTTCCACCTAACTCTATCCTCCTCATCCTCTACTCTCACCCCAGTTAACTTCATGTCCTCTTTTAGCACATCCATATATCTCCTCTTTGGCCTTCCTCTTCACCTCTTGCCTGGCAGCTCCATCTCCAACATCCTTCTACCAATATAACCACTATCCCTCCTCTGCACATGTCCAAACCATCTCAATCTGGCCTCTCTGACCTTGTCCCCAAAACAGCCGACCTGAGCTGTCCCTCTGATGTGCTCATTCCTAATCCTGTCCATCCTGGTCCCTCCTAAAGAGAACCTCAACATCCTCATCTCTGCTACCTCCATCTCTGCCTCTTGTCTTTTCCTCACTGCTACAGTCTCTAACTCATACAGCATAGCTGGTCTCACTACTGTCAGAAAATCATCAGTGAAAATAACAAATCAGTAGAAATTGCCACAGTCAAAGATATAAATGTAGCCCGTTGGCACATACTGGGCTGGTACTTTTTACAAATGACACAAATGACTATGTCTTGTGTTGTTATAGCTACAGTTTTAATTTTATTTGTGTAACAGTTACAGCTTTAATTGCATTTGTGATGTAAATGCCAATTCTGGGAGAGCTGTATTGGTTACCACAATAGGTTCACCCTCTTTACGCATAGTAATGTGATTGGTCGAAGGAATCTGGCAATCTGTGACCTGCTGTGATTGGGAGGTGGGGAAGAGGGGTAGGAAAAAAAGGGGAGAGAAAGAAGTGGCTAAGAGGAGAGAGGAGAGAAGAGGCAAAAGAGAAAAAAAGAGAGAGACTGAAAAGAGACGGAGAACTTT